TGCCCATCTGCAGACACAATGTATTTGTACATTGGGAATAGAGGGCAAAACCTGCTCTGATCTCTGCAGAGCATCCCTTCTATTGTCCTACTGGCACACATTAAGATTGATGCGAGATTAAGGACCAACACCCTTCTAACAATCGATAGAAATGTCAATTCATCTGAATTTTGAAACACTTATTCACCCATTGATTACCTGAATAGGTGTGCGGTGTTTATAGGCACTGTATTAATTCAGACCTCTAAGTGCCAATCTTCTCTTGCTGTTTTCTTCACCTATAAGATTTGTACAATGAAGAATTGACATGGGATTTCAATTTCTTACTACATCGAATCTTTACATAAATCTATATGTATATATAATATAATCATTATTTTTAGTTATTTTAGATTTAGCTCTAATATACTTTGTGCTTTTCTATCTGTATTGAATCTATTGTTTTCAGTAGCAGGCTGATTTGTCTCTTTGATAAGCCCTGTGGAGATTTGATTATTCCAATAAAAATTCATTCACTTGGAAACCCACCCTCCAGCTGTTTACTCCCAGAGTCCCTGAACTACACTAATATTAGATTTGGAAGCACTGAACAAAATTTAACAGTGGAAAGGCAGGCTTAGAAAATAAGTATTTTTACCAATCTTTCATGGGGAAAGTTATTACGGAAGAGGCTTTGTGTCAGCCTGGCACAAAATCTTTACCAGAGAATATGGTGTAATGTTTCTCACTTTGCTAATAAGCTAGTGATCTTTTTATAATCATGCCTCAGCCAAACTCTAAACTAACCTCTGGCCTTGGGAGCCTATTGAGTCCTCCTTGCTGCTGGTTGTTGTTCCATGTTGTTTGATAGCCTGAGGCTTGTTTTCTAAATGGAATGTGGATGGACTTATTTAGGCAGAGCTGCCCTTTTTTCCAGATTAGACCAAAGCTTTGCAGACTCCCAGTAAAATAATTGCATCTTAGCTTACTGTTATCATTATTTGCCTGTTATAAATCTCTTAGTATGAGAACCCTAACTTTGCATTTTCAGAGGAAGTTTGGGGGGCACAACAGAATTTGTGTAGGAGTTGGCAGGCAATTTGGTGCTAGGGGTGATAATTTTTAAATAAAATTTCTGCTTGAATCTATTTGAATTTTTGAAAAATGTCATTCCAACTTATGCAGCTTGCCTTTTCCTTTTGGCAGGTCCTGTTAGCCTGAGCACACCAGCTCAGCTTGTGGCCCCCTCTGTTGTAGTAAAGGGCATTCTTTCTGTCACTTCCTCCGAGCTCTATTTTGAGGTGGATGAAGAAGATCCCAACTTCAAGAATATCGACCCCAAGGTGAGATGATGAGGAGCGGGCTTCATTTTTATGGAATTGTATTTTTCTTTGGATGGGATGATGCGCTGTTATTAAGTAGGATTGGCATTGGTAAAATCTGACAGACTTAGTTTGAATTTCTTGCTGATTTCTCTGTCTCTGCAGGCAACTATTTCCTTTAGCTTATGGCTCCCTTACCAGTTAGTTAGATTATTGAAGTTTATTTAGATTCAAAAACAATTCCCACTTAATTGCATTTATCATTAGCTCATTGAAGGGTGGGGGAAGAACCTCAGGGAATATCTTCTATAAATATATTTTGCCTGAAAGGGTCCAGGGTGAATTAAGCTACAAAATTTAGTGAGATTGAGAGACGAATTATTTTGTTTAGCCTTTCTGCTTTCTAGGTATAATACCAATATATCACTCTCCTTGCTTTGTCCTCATGACTTACTACTCTGTTGTGCATGCGTGTCTCGTGTGTGTATGAGGTACTCTGTTTCCCATTACCTGAAGTCGATTTTACAAGGCACTGCATAATTTCCTATTCTTAAATGAAAATGTAATTTCCCCTTTAAAATGTATTTCTGATTACTTTTCAGACCTTGGCAACTTTATTTTACTAAGAAACATTTGTGGCTAGGCCATAAAGCCCAAATTAGGTTTATTTCATGAATGTGAATGGTAGGATTTGTTCTGAGAGGAAAGTCTCGTTTAAAATGAGCAAAATAAGCATCGTATAGAAAGAAAAGTGGTTTAAAAAATTGGAATACTTTATTTTACACACTGATAGCTTTTGTGTGTGCATACTACATACATAGATACATGCATACACACATATATACATTCTGAATTTATTGGTTTTGTAACCATGTGAATTATTAAGTTTTAGTGATTTAGAACTATTTCAAAGTAGTTCTTGATGAAAATGTTATAATTTTATTGAAAACTTTATGATCATCTCTTGTCTTATGTGCATTTCTAACACAATGTTTCGAAATTGCTGCCTTTATTAACAGCGTTTGGTAGATTGTACAAAAGGAAAGCTACAGTGAAACAGCTCATTTTGACCTTGATAATTCAGCTAATCCAGCATAGAGAAAACTTTAATTCAGATTTTTGCATTATTTTTTTTACTTTGTTACAGAGCTGAAATGTCAGGAAATGTTTTTTAGTTTCTTTAGGAAAGAAAAGTAACCAAAATGAATTACATTCTCTAATTTATGGCAGTTTGTGAGTTTCAGAGGCTAGAATTTAACTCAGAATATCAATTATGCTTTTGGACATACATGGCTTAAAGTCTAAATTGTGATTTAAGGTATCTGAGTAATTTTACTCAATATTGGAATTTTTGCGAGTCTTTGCAGTTAGACTCATTGAAGTTATTTGCTCCTTTGGGGGAAGTTATAACTTTTATTTCTCTCTGATCTTATTCTGTGTAGCATCATTAAATTAATTTTTCCCCTGTTGCTTGTGCAATGCAGGGATCTTTTACCTTAGTCACAGAAATTGTTTTGTACCACAGCAATCTGCCTAACGTTACAGAAATAAAAACTTCTGCTAGTTTATATTGAACAATTTGTCAGTCTGTTTTTGGAAGAATTTTTTATTTTGTATAGACATTGATGCTTTAAGGTTGTTTGTAGTGAGGACACTTACGTTGTTACAGTGCTTTTCTTTTTTAGTTGCATCAAATTAAATGAGGAGGAGAAAAGATACTGAATTTGGGGAAATTTTGTTTCTTCTTGTCAAAAGTTAAAAGCTTTTCCTGGGATAATTAGAGGGAGATATGTGTCTAATGCTGTAAGTACTTTTGAGAGTGAAAAAATGGTCATTTTAAGATGTTATTTTAATCTTTTAAACTAAACATTGTCTTTAAAGCATTACTTTGTAAATGTAAGACCTATTACTTGCTTTGAAAATGTTCTTAAAAATAAGAACATTTCCCCCAGAGAATAAATTCATTTTTATTATTAAAAAAAAAAGTGGTGTGTTTGTCTGCACCACTTACTGTTACAGTGCATTTGTTCTGCATCTACAGGAAGAGAGACCAGAAAAGACATAGATTTAGAGTAGAGATGATTTCAGAGCTAATAAGATCAAAGTTTATATTTCTAGACTAGAACTATTTTTACTATGGAAATTTCACCAGGAAATCTTATGACTAAACCCTGTTTGGTCAAGTGAACCAGAGCTCTAAGTACCTTCCTTGTTTTTCATCCATCTCTCCTGTTGTCCTGCTGCTCATCCATCCTTATACTCCCTCCCCCACTTCTCCCTCTGTTCTTTAAAATTTTTCTTTATATCTCTCATTCATGGATTTTCTCAATAAATTAAAAACTGGGATAATTTAAAGAATAAATTTTACAGGATAACATCTGACATATATTCTGTAGCTGTGCCTCCTCATTAGCATATCTAATGGAGTACATAGTTGCCTCCAATATGAGGAAGAGAAATCAGTTCCTTTCGGATACTTTCAGTTTTACAAATTACTTTATAATCATTTATTTCCTTGTTTTAAAAAGAAACCTTTCTTAAAGTTGAAATGTAATGGGTATATTGGATTGTTACCGTAGAAAGGCAGAAAGAGCAGAAAGTACTTTTCCTATTTGTAAATTCTTGAAACAGTAATATTCTTTTGGTCAGAAATATTGTATCCAAACTTTTTTTTGTTTGAATTGCCTATAAGAAGCTTCAGAATAATCATGAAAAATACTGGGGATTTAAAAAAATGACCATAGTGTTGGCATTTATAACTAAGCAATTTAAAATATTGAAGTAATTCATAAATCTGGATTGTTCACGTTTGCTAGGAAAAGGACTATTGCTATAACCACTTTATTCATTTTTGGTGCGGTTGATTTAACTGTTAAGTTTTTATTATTTAAAACTTAAAGAGGACAAATGATTGAAGGAAAAGTGTCAACTGATAGTGCTAACTCTTCAGAAAAGATCCATAAGTATTTCCTTTGTATTTCAGACTCAGTGAATTTTTAAAAATTATGGCATAAAAAGCAAATGTCTTCATTTTAAATGTGAAAAAAAATTTTCTCTTTAAAAAATTAGGATCAAAATTTGTTTTTCTATATAAAATGTGTTCTTTTTTCAAGTGTCTAGGAAGATATTACTTTTAATCTTAAATCTATAGTACAAACATATTATATATTTGGGTAAAAATTAATATTTTCTCTTTTCTAAGGATTTTGGTGAGAACTTGTATGATTAAACCTACAAAATGTGCTGTATTTGTAATTTTGCAAATTAGAGTTCAAATGGCAGCTTCTTTTACTTAGCTGCTCAAATTCACATCTTTACATTGTGAATTTTAAATTGTGATCTCACCTGCCTTCATTTAAGAACAATCCACAAACAGTCAATTACAATGTAAAGTAATATTTTTATTACTGTTTTCAACAAGACTGCTTAGGGTGAGGGTAGAGGTGCAAGAGAGGGAGGAGCACAGTCTGACATTGGCACTGAGATACATTTAACATCAGCAAAACTTTTTTTAAAAGAGAAATTTTACATATAATTAAATACTTTTTTTCACTTGGTGACAACATTCAGGCAACCCAAAACAAAATGAAATGGGGGGGGGGGGAGAGAGAGAGAGAGAAGAGAGAGAGAAGAGAGAAGAGAAGAGAGAGGAGAGAGAAGGAGAGAGAGGAGAGAAAGGGAGAGAAGGAAAAGGGGAGAACTACTATACATTGATCTGAAAATGTACCTTGGGTTTCATTTTGTGGTGGCAAAGCCCGATTGCTTCTTTTGTGTGACCTCTTAAATTCACATTGTTTGGAAGAAAACGATCACTTTGTGCAAGAATGTGATTTTGTGTTGTTTGGTTTGTTGGTCGGGTTGCTCTCTTTTTGTTGGTTTGTGCATTCACGGAGGTCTGCTGCTTGGTTCCTGTTTCTTTCAGGTGGCTTACATAAAAGTTTGTGTCCGGAGTTCCCGCTGTTTGTGGTGTGTTGGGTGGATGAGAGCATTCCCGTTTGCATCGCTTTTCAAGCAGTCCCCAGCACCCTATAGTTTGTCCAGGCTTTTGGGATTGGTGAGAATTTCCCTGGCCAACCTCCAGGTCTGCTTGGCAGCACTCTCCAGGGCCGAGTGGGGCTTGCCCTGGAAAAGGTCGAGGTTGGGCAGAAAGTAGTGTGGGCAGCGGCGGCACTGTAGGCAGGAGATGAGCTGCAGCAGGATGCCGTTGAGCCGGTCGCCCAGGCACGCCTCGTCCCAGTCCGTTTCCCGCGGGTGTTTCTCGCACTCGTACAGCAGCAGCGTCTTCATGTGGTAGTTATTGAGTGGCTGGCCTGGCAGCTCCAGGTGGCGGTCCCGTAGGGTCTTCAGCACCGACAGACACTTGTTTCGGCAGCCGCCCATCAGCAGGCGGTTCTCGGCCTCCCCGAACTGTAGCACCCAGGCATCGCTCTCCGCGGAGCTCTGCTTGCCGGTCAGCGAGTAGCACTCCTTGGAGAGCAAGTTGAACCCTTCGGCCTTGACCTCCGCCACCCGATTGGGGCCCGGCCAGGGGATGTGAGGCATAGGCCACTGTGCCGCACTGCGAGGCCAGATACCAGTGCACTTGAACGCCGGAGTGATCTGCACCACATAGCGCTCCCTGATGCGCAACTTGACTTCGCTGGTATCCGCGATCATCTTGACCACATCCCGATAGCTGCACTTGTCCACCGCCTGAGCCACCAGTGTCTGGAAACGTGAACGGATCTTACGCGCGGAGAGATAGCCGGACGCTGTGATGAACTCAACCCAGAGAGACATGCTCCGCTTCCTACCATCGCTCAGTTTGAGCACCGCGCAGCCGGGCAGAGAGCCGTCGTCCACGAAGTTGAAGACGCCCATCTGGTTGAGGTAGAGCACCACCTCGAATTCTGTGGGCGAGATGACCTCCAGCCCCTCGTAGCGGGCATCGATCTCGCTCAGGGAGCTGATGAAGCGAGGCTCCTGCACCTCCACTTCCTTTAGCACGTCCGAGACCACCTTACAGACCTCTCGGATGGTCTTGGCGATGGCCGCCTTGCGCGCTTGGCAGCGCTCCGTGTAGTATTTATTGAGCTGGTAAACCAGCTTGGCCTGAGCGGCGATCATGTTGGGGCACAGGTCCGGGCTATACACCGGCGTCTCGCAATACGTTGAGGGATCCAAGGCTCACACACTGGTGGTGGCCCTGCGGCTTGCAAAAGAGGCAGTGCGCTCCCCTTAAGCCCCACTTTCACTCTTGCTTTCCACCTGGGCTGACCCGCTGATGCTACAGCAGGCCAGATCTCTCTTTCCCCTCTGTCCGAAATCCTTTTCTTCTCCAGAAAATTAGAGGGGGGAAAAAGTGATCTTTCAAAAAGAAAAGTACCTGCTGGGACTTTCTTGCTTTCTCTTGATATGTAAAATAAAGATGTGCTTGCCGGAGAGATAAGGGGGAGGAGGGAAAAGAGAAGACAAGAAAACTTCAGGTTAACAAAAGGTTTAGTTTAGATATCTGCTGCCGAGATTGTCCAGAAATCTGGAAATGAGGTCTTTTAAGTGCCAAAGTAAATTTAAAAATAAAAGCGAAACATTCACTGTTTCATTCTTAAACTTGTCTCCCAAGCTGGTAGGACTTCTTCACTCAGCTTAGGTGAGTGCCTTCCTCACCCTCCCCCAAATGTAAGGTGAAGGATGTAATTAATGTCCAGAGAGCAGCGAGGTGCACTGAGTCAGCGGCACCCTCGGAGGTGTGCAGACGTCCTGCGCTCTCAGCGTGCTGGTCTGGTCCCTTCTCAGGGGGTCGTGTTGTAGCGGTATTCCTCTTTTCCTGCTGGAGGCGTTGTTTGGACTGGGCTTGTTTGCAGTGGGTTCTTCTTGTTTTTCTCTAGGTGCAAACCGCTGGAAGTTGTTTGATATTCATTTCTGCTTCGTAATTTATAATCTTGGCCCTCACAAAATGTATTTTAATGTGACGAAGTCTTTGCTTGCGTTGCATCTGGGGTTTAGTTATAATGATTCTAGGGTTTTCTTCTCCTCCCCCTTTAGGTTGCTTGTGCAGATTCCACTTTCTGAGTCCTCTCTCCCTCCTCCCCTCTGAGGTCTCTCTCCCTGTCCCCTCCTAATCTCTCTTCCCTCCCTTGCTCCCTCCCTTCCTCTTCTCTCTCCCTCTCTCTCTCTATCTCTCTCTCCCTTTCTCCCCCCTCCCCCCTCTCTAAATCTCTCTAGCTCTCTTTCGCTCACCTCTCACTCCCCACTCTCCCCTCTCCCTGCCTTGCTGTTTCCTGGAGTTATTTAGTTTATGAATGGTCCAGGGCCATCATGAGGGGGGTGGAGCTTCAGTTCGTACAATCGCTATCCAAGCTGTCACTGCTTTAGCCAATCCGAGAGAGAAGACAGGCATGCTTGGCCCACAGTAGCAGCCACCGCTGCGCTTGATAAAGAAAGAGGGTAAAGGGAGAAGTAAGAAAATAGGAGGAGATAGTAGAAGTCAAATGCACACACACATTTTACAGCCCCCTCTTCTTTATCCTCCTCTCTTATCAGTTGCAAGGAAGAACAAGAGTCTATATCGAAAGGACTTTCTGGAGATGACAGAGTAACTGGAGGGAGAGTAACAGTGGTTCAGAAAGGTTCACTTTCCCCCCCCCTATCAACATAGTGAAGAAGGTGCAAACTAACAAAATTACTTTCGCTTAAGGCAAATGGGAGGAGGACAGGAATTTGGGAAAGGACCTAACGTTTTCTTGATTTTCTCCCATAAAGTCTCCCCACCCCCATTGTTGCTGAGAGCCAGAGCAATTGCTGTATAAGTGCACCAGTGTGTGGGGGGTGGGTATGGGGTGAGGGTTTATGACTATAAATCCCTTTTCAGTAATTTTCATATGTTGTTGAAATAAATGGGCAGGACAAAAGTAGTGCAAGCACCTTGTTTGGTAATTGCTACTTCATAATTAAGAGTCAGATATATTCAATGCTTTTCCTTTATTGTTACAAGGACAACCATATTAACCAGTTATTAGAAAATATATTTAAGTTGCGAGAGATGGTGCAGATTTATAGATGGTAGAATTTTGTTGGAATATGTTTACATCAAAATAAACCACTGAAATTGTTTTAAGCTTAAAAACGAAAGGAAGTTAATGTGAACCTGAATCAAAATTTTCTTAAAATGCCAATGTTGTAAATCTAATTTTGAATATTTTTGAAGGTAATACAGTTTCATTTGTAAAATGAATTTATTTTCATAATTGACTTTTGCTTTTAAAAGACTCACTACTGCAATGCAAAAATCTATAACTATCCTGTTATTGATTACACAGATGGCTTCACTCCTCCCTTGGCATTTCAGTGAAACACATGTCTGTGTTTTAGTGTATGTATTTTACCCATTGTAGCGTTTCGGTACTTTTGGATAAAAAAGCTGTAACAGTGTTTGTGATTTGCTTAATATTCAGGGTTTATGTTTGAACCTTGGATGTCTGTCTGAGTCTTTTTTAGATAAATAGGCGGGGTTATTATTATTACTATTTTTAGAGTTGGTAAGTTGTATTCTTTGATAATGCTGTAAGGATAAAACTCTATGAAGCCCTTCGGGGAAGACTGCATTTTGCAAAACCTGGCATACAGCTTTTTCAAAATCCCTTGGGAGGGTTTGACTTGCTCTCTTAAAACGGGACCAGGTGAACCTGAATTCAGTTGCTTAGGGGAAGTTTATGTCTCTCCTCCTCCTTGATGCCAGATGCTTGGACCTCTTAGTCCTTTCTTATGTGGCTGGTGTGGTCCAATACCTTGTCACCCATTCACTTTTTTTTGCCCTAAGTCCCTTTCTAAAGAACCATTGGGACATTTTTTAAAAAATTAAGTCGAATTTATTGCGTGGAATCTGTGTTCAGTAGTGAGGAGTTGGGATGAACAGTTGGAAGTAAGCATACTTGAAATTCGGACACAGCTTTAGTCAACTATTCAGAAGTGGCAGAGAGGTGGGGCGGCCTCGGGACCCCAGCCTTGGGGGAGGGGGGGAGGGGACGCTGGGCTGCCTTGAGGATCCTGGGCTACGGCGCCTTAGGGGGTTGGCGTGTGGGAAACCCAGACTCCGTGGATAACCCGCTTATTGCCTGTGGGTCACACCGGCGCCCTGGGAAATATTAGTGGGCAGGAGGGACACTTTGGTGCAGGGAGTTGTGTGACCAGCCAGGAAAGGGTCCTTAGCCTTGTCTCCCGAGGGCAGTTACTGGGGAGAGACTCCTGGCAGGGCCAGAGGGGGCAATGCTTTCCCTCCCGAACCTTTGATGTGGCCGCTTCTTCAGTGCCTCCTGTCCTCGCGGCCGAGGTGCCCCTGGGAGTGAGTGTTTGCCGAAAGGTCTGGGTGACCGCGGTAGTGCATCTTCTGGGCCATGGCGCTGCCTACTGCCGGTGCAGGGTAGGCGCCCAGGGACGCCAGTCCATGCCTTTGCCTAGTGAGGCGGCCCAGGCCGTGCTGCGCTAGACGCCATTGCCTGATACCCCGCTCCTCTCCGCTCCTCTCCTCTTGTCTCCTCTCTGTCAAGCACAGCTAAGTTTCTTGCACCCTTTTCCCAGCGTTTCTCCACTTTTACAGCAGAGGCTGAGAGTTGATAAAACATTACAAATGTTTTGATTTAAAAACAATCCATTACCAATTTACCCTGTCTAAGGTAGATGCTCTAGTAAATAATAAATCAGTTAAACAAAGGCGACTTTAATTTATTGTCACGGTACTAATTAGAAACATCATCCAAGCAATAAACTTAAACACTTCCAGCAAATAATGCTCCCTCTTGCCAGTTCCCTTCTCCCCCTCCCCCACCCAACTCCCTAGGCCGCCTCTGCTCTCCGAACTGAACTGCTTCTGCTCTGTGTTTGCGAATCCGCTCTCTTCCTCTGGTTGAATAATTGAAGGGGGAAACGGTATCTGAGGAGGCTGTAATTGAAGAGCCCCTGTCACCTCTGCTTTTATGTATGTTAGTATAGAAGTCCATCAGCAGCTCCTTGATGGTGTATTAAAACGAAGTGGCAGCCCCTTCTGCAGGAGATACCATATTCTATTAAAGGAGACCAAGTGAGAGAAAGAAACTCTAGACTAGAGGCTAAAAGCCACTTCAAGTCTTCAGGCCGATTGATCTGTATTCTCTTGTTATAATCCATCTCATCATACTTGAGTTAATGAGGCAAAAGAGGGGGAGCGAAATCTGATGGTCCTTGACAAATTCATTAGGGAGGCTGCAGGACATTTTATTTGACTGTTAAACATCTTGTTTGTTTGGTTTAGACAGTGCCAACATCAGCTTGCTTCTGCCCAGACCTGTGATGTTAGGATAGCTGCAGACATTCCTAAAAAGAGGAGGACATTCAGGGTGTGATTTGAATTTTTTGTTTTGGATTTCCGGTAGTCCATAACCTTCAGACTTCTCTAGGCTTTACCTTCACCATCATCATTACATTTGGTACGTTTTATGAGGATGTAGAAGGTAACACTGAGGTGTTTTTAGTTACTATAAACTAAAATGTGTATGTTTAAACTTAAGTCTGAAAATTTCCTGTATCCTTTAAAAAATGAGTCAAGTTTTAGCAAATACTATACTAGTTAGTAAAAAAACGTGAATGTGTAAGTTCCAGATTACACATTACATCCTGTTTTTACTTGATCATGGTTAAATAAACTTTTAATTATTAATTGAATTTCCTCTTGTAGTGAAACACGAAAGCCAGAAACTTAGAAATAAAAATTTTAACTATATGTACAAATATGATATTTTCAAAATAAAATTGGTATATTTTAACTTGGGGGCCTTTTTATATTTAAAATTAGAAGCAGAACTGAGTGCTCTTTGAATGGTGTTAAAGTAAGGTGATGAGTTAACCAAATACTTAAAAAACTGAAAATATTTCTTATTGAAGAATAATGAACAATTAGGCTAAATGCTAATGTTATATTTTATTTGAAGATAATAATACAGTATTTTATTTTCTCAAAAACCTTTTCTTGGAAGGAAACAAACAGTTCAATTCTCTATAACTCAATAGAGAATTCAGTTATATTTTCCTTCAGCAGTTGACTTAAAGAGCCTCAGCTCAAATGCTTTCAGAAAGAACCCTGGCTTCCATTTCTA